AATCTCCCTTCCTCTTGCCTTCGGAAATACTGCCTAAGACTTAGTCCTTAATTGTACAGAATTCCTCAAACTGTAGTCATGATTGGCACCTAAAAAGCTGGGAAATGGCTTTTTAAAACGTAGGTTCCAAGGCAACATCCTCAAAAAGATAATATTTCAAAAAGCCTGGTCAATTATTTTCATTTACAAACACCCAGTGTTTGTGATGTACCTTGTAATGTACATTTTAACAAGCTTTCAGAGGGATTTTGATATAAACTGAAAATTTAAGATCTGTTGCTTTGGTCATTTCCTCCATATCCCAAGTGGTGTGTAAACCTTTCAATGTAGGAATCCTTTTTAATGTTTGGAAGCTAGCTCCATGCTGAGCACATAATTGGAGTTTTCAGTTTTCAGTGTCAGGCATTGAAGATTAGTGGGACCCAGGGGGTGTCTTGTTGACAGATATTAGTTTTCTGCATAATCTGGATCAGCCATATTCTTTGATATGTACAAATGATTGCGTTTCCTGGGTCTTATATACAGTGCTTCAGTAAAATGCTATATCAGTGAAGCTTCAGGACAAGTGGCCTGGCCTTTCTTTTTAACTAGATTGCTGCCGATATTCCTATCCTATGAAGAAACTCTGGAGCAGCCACTGCCTGAGACACAAAGAATAATAAAACTGGTTCCTGTTTTCAAGGAACTTCAAGTCTAATAGATGACAGAGATAGGTAAACAAATAATTACATAGTAATCAAAGCATGTAAAAGGTACAGAAATATTGGTGGAGTCAGGGAACTTAATATCTGAGTTGAGTTTAAAAGAATGAGTAAGAATTAATATTCAGCCAGGCAAGGAAGAGCACCCCAAGCAAGAGAACTGCCTTTGCAAAGGAAGGAGGGGTGGATTAATAGGGTTTATCAGGGAATGAAAGGTGAGTACAAGAGTTTGGTGAAAGAGAATAGTGGGAATGAAGCTTCCTCCCAGCCTTGGGTTTTCCCATGGGAGGATGGAGATGCTGATTGGGGTAGATTTGTGGGAATAGACCCTTGAAGCCATTCTTGTCTCCTTTTACTCAGAGGCAGACAGTTCTAGATGGCATGGCCCCAAGCCTCTCACTTTCTCAAGCACAGCAGCTTCTAAAGCTTCTGGGGCTATAAGTCTGGTCTCCACATTCACTGGAGAGCAGTGACTTTCAACGAGCTTTGATTGCAACCCCCAGAAAGAAATACATACTATGCTGTGACCTAGAACACACATACATAAATATAAAATTGAAACACAACTTCTACAAAATACTATCTCCATTGTTGCCTGTTGTTTCCTAGTCTATTCCATCAAAAAAAAATTAAGGTTGGGTGGCACTCATACGTTGATTTCACAGTCCAATGAGCCACAACTGGCACTTTGAGAAACACTATCCTGGAACTCATGTTCTAGTTTGGAAGTGTTGAGAAACAGCACAGGTCAGTGGCTAAGGGCTTGGACTCTGGGAGCAAATGGCCAGAATTCAAGTCCCTATTCACCTACTTATTATCTGTGTGGCCCTGAGCAAGTTACTTAACCTTTCAATACCTCAGTTTCCTTGTCTGCAAAATGGGATAAGAGTACCTACTGGGTAGGGTTGTGAGGATTAAGTGATAGACATAGACATAGATATATACCCAGAAAATTGCCAGACATCTAGCAAGTGCTGCTTAAGTGTTAACAGCCATTACCTTCCTCTTCCTGCTGCTCATCATCATCATCAATAATGCCTCCTGTTATCCTATCTTAAAATGAAGAAGCCAAATTGGTACCACTAGTGAGTTGGGGTGGGGGCAATACCAAAAGGTTTATTTATGAAGCTGTAAAAGCTACACAGTGTGTGGGGCAGGGTGGGAACCCTGCAGGCTGTGGCCCTGTCTGCAGGGGAGAAGAAGAAGGAGACTCCTTTCCCAGTCATGGTTTAGTGTTTTGGATAAGGTGACTGCTGGGTCTGAAAGGATCTCTCTGCATTCTACTAACACAGATTTTATTTCCTCGCTCACTTTTGTAACCACCTAGAATCCCACACTCCCAAAGTGAGGAGAACTTCCTTCTTACTATGCATGTGGGTGACCATCAGAATGTCAATCCACAGAAGGCAAGATGGAATTTCTTTCCTCATCAATTCAGTGAACTCAATCCAATAATGGACAACCCACAAAGGGGGTTTACAAAAAAAAAAAAAGAAAAAGAAGAAAAGCAAAACCAAACTTTTCAATTGTGCCAAAGGCTGACATGTTTAACCCACCTCGCCCAGCACCTCTCAGATGCTCTGATAGTCCGACTAAGGAACAAAAGGGGCATCTGCCACCTAATGGGTAGAAACCAAATTCAAGACTATTCTTGAATCACTCAAGAATCTTGAATCACTCAAGATTCTTGAATCACTACCGTCACTCAAAGGACAAAATCAGGAAATAAAGAACAGGAGACCTGGAGTAAATATTTCATTGGTCATGATGATCAAAAGATAATGGTTAATACACACACACTCAGACCTCATCCCACCTGTTGCAGGGCGGAAGCAATACCTCCAGGCCCCCCACCCTCTCCCTGGGCTTCTCCTGCCATGCCCTGCAGCCACTGTCACCCAGGACTCCACCCTTCACTTGGTACTTCTCCTGCCCCATTTGCAGCTTCCCTCAACACGGTGCCCGGACATTCACTGTGAAGAAAAGCCAAGGACTTGACCTGAGTCTGCGGTGGGCAGGGTTGCAATGTCCATGAGTCCTTCTCTACCTCCTTTCCCAAATTCTCTCCTTCTCTCCCCTCTCCCACCCCATCATTGTTCCCCGGAAACAAATAGGATGGCTTCACTGGTCAATTCTTTACATGTACAAACACCAAAAGCAGAGGAAACACCCCTGGCCACCCCCCTCCCCCCAAACCCCAGTGCTGGGAGAGCAGCCCATGGCGGACGAGGCTGCCTCGGGAACTGCGGAGCTGCTGGAGCTGTCCGGCTGTTCTGGAAACTTCTTTGGCCTCTGGGCTTTACCTGGAGGCCTCTTCCTTCAGCTCCTTGTTTTTCCGCACCTCCTCCGCGTGCTTGTCCTGAGAAGGAAGGGAGCGAAAAGGGGAGGTCACACGGGCTTCCCGGGGATAAAAGGGAAGCCAAGGGGCAAGAGAACCCAAAGTAAAGAATTGCTGCTGCAGGAAATGAAGAGAAAGGTCTGCAAAGATGCCCTGGGAAGGGGCAGAAGGTGGCAGGTGAGACTGGTAGGAGGCAGGTGAGCAAGCCGACTGGTGTGGCCCCAGGGAGTTCATTGACTGGGGCCAACCTCCCATGGGGGACCCACCTCACAGTGACCCCAGAGCCCACCAGCTTCCCCCTCCTTCACCTGGCCATCCTGGGCTTGCACTGAGTGCATTGCTTGACTTAATGTAGGGAGCAGCTCAGTGTAGCCATGCCGGAGGAGCAGGTAGAACAGACAGGCCTCATTACAAATGTCCCCTGCACACACCTGCAACGTGACCGCTGCTTTCATTTCTGTCCATCCCCTCAGTGCAAGTTATTTTCTTCAGCCCCTTGGTGAAAGATGAGGGCTCTTAAGTATAAATTGACTGAAGAATTTTTGGAAATGTCACCCAAATCCAAAAAGTGGACTCACTCACAACTGGTGTATGAGAACCCTCTTTGTCGGACAGTGTAATCAAGCCAAAAGATGGGATCTGACTTCAAAGACCCATCAGCTGTGTGACCTCAACTAACTGCTTCATCAGTCAGGCCTCCTCGGCTCCCTGGTTTTTAAAGAGAAGGCCCTAAACCGGAAGCTGTTTTTACCTCTAGAATTCTGTGATTTTAGTGTTCACCTCTAGGGCACATTATGGTCTGCCTTACATCCCTGTTCATTGTGCATCTGTCTGGGTCCTCTATTGGACGGTGACTTTCTTGGAGGCAGGGAGCACATCTTTTTCTTCTTTTTATTTCCCAGTTCCTCCTATGGCACTTTGCACATGGCAGGTGCTCCATAAATATTGTCTCTGCCAGACCCTGGCAATCATCCAGATAGTATCATATCCAGATATCAAAAATCAGACTGGAGTAGGCCTACTGAGGCAGTCCAGGAGCCCAGGGTATACCTTCAACTATGAATCCATCCCTGAGAAAGCCCTAGAACTTTCCATGGCCCTGGGGAAAGTGTGGGTAGTGGTGTATCTAGGGCAATGGTTCTAAACCTTGCTATGTATCAGCATGACCTAGGGAATTTGTTATACTCCTGGGTCCTCAGGCACCCCATGAGAGTAGATCACTAGGCTCCCAAGGATCTGTAGGTTTAATCTTTACACCAGGTGAATTTGTTGCAGATGGTCAGTGACCCATGCAGTTACCAACACAGAAAGCACTGGCTTGGAGCAGGGCAGAAGCCACACACCTGTCTCTTATTCCATCTCCCACATTCATCAGTGGCCGAGGGTCCAAAGGAGTCAATCAATCCCAAAGGAGTGATGCCCACTCAGATTCTGACTCTGACATCTTGCTCCTTTGAGTCTTACTCCACCTCCGTAGCTATTACTCCGGGGGGGGGGGGGCGGGCTTCTCAATCCCTTCCCCTTGGAATTGACCTCTACGTGAGCTCTCTGGGCAGAACCCTAGATTTCTGGGCTCTCTTTCTTTGGTCTCCAATGGTCCCCTCTCTGGCAAAAAGCCAATAGGATGATTGTGGGCTAGTCCCCCTGAAACGGGTTGAAAGAGTCCCCTGGACTTACATAGCCAGAGAATTGGGTTCTGGTCCCAGCTGCACTGCTTAGTGGCTGTGTGACCCTGGCCAAGTTATTTGACCTTCTCTGACATGGTTTCCCCATTGATTAAATAGGGATAACACTGTTCTGCTTACCTCATGGATTTGTTGTGAGGATAGGAGTAGGTAGAAGTAAAAGTGTTTTTGCCATTTTTTAAATACCATATCGTGGCTCTAGCCCCAATTATTTCTTTTGGGTTTGGCCTGAGAGCCCATGCCCCCATTTTACGGCAATCCCAGATTTTTTTTCTCCTGCAAGAATTTGTTCCTAGCCATCCCTCGATAACTAGGGAAGACTGAAATGAGACCCAGATCACTTCCCTCCCATCTGATACTTGGTGGAGGTCTTATTGCCCCTAGAAGGGTGGAGTGTGAGAGCGGAAGGGCTGCCACATGCTGGCTAGTTGCAGGGCCTATGCAACATTCAGATCCCCTGTAAAGAAACCAATCTTTCTAGTAGCTGTTGCCAAGGGCCTGAGACTCTAGGTGGATGGGCAGGAAGGAGTGGGGACCACGCTGCTCACCATGGGACGAGGCCACCGATCGGGTCCCGGGAGTCACCGCGCAGCAGGCGGCTCCTGGAAATAAAACACAGAGCTGGAGCTCTCCCAGGAGCTGCAGGAGAAACTGGGGCAGGCTTGAGACTCAGGAAATGAGGCCAACGTGTTCTCAGCAGAACGGGCTGTTATTCTGCTGACACGTGGGACCAATCCCAGTCTCTCACGTTTCTCTTATATAGGTGACACCATTTGGTTTATTGACAAAGGGCAGAATATTGGAAAGATCTGTGACTCACTCAGTCCATATCATAGGTTTGGAGACAATCATGTTTCCTGCTCAATGGTCAACTCAGCTTCTCATGCCCTTGGCTTAGATCCAAGAGCCCAAGTCATCACCTTTCATTAAATCAAATCAGTCCATTCAAGGATGAACCAGGAATGTACAACTGCTTGTTCATCCTTACTCTTTTGCATTAGGCAGGCTTTCTCTAGAAGATAAGAGGTCTAATCTCCCTAAGACAATGAGAAATTTCAGTTGTGTAGCTGCGCATTATATCCCCCAAGGAATTCTAAAGCTCAGCTCGTTTCTTGCCAATGACTTCCCAAAACATCCCTTGTAACTCTGTAAGGATCCAGCCTAACAGAAATACCCCCTTTCCTACCTGAGGCTGTTTGCTACCTGAAATAATATGTAAGTCCTTTATACTTGCCATGGAAGGAAGAGAGTGTTCCAGGAGTCTCTTCTTTCACCAAGAACACTTACCTTCTCTTGCAGCCGTTCCAACATGGCGGCAAGGTGGGCCTCCCGGTTCTCCTTATTGGATTCCATCTTCTGAGCCAGTTTTTCCTTAGCCATCTTGATGAAATTGTTGTTTTCCTCAATGGCTTTTTGGATCACCTCCCGCTCGTGTTCTCGTTTCTCTGCCAGGTGCTTCAGGAGCTCAGCTTCCTGGTACTAAGGCAGCACAAAGGGAAAAAGAGGCCCTTGAAAGTGAGCATGCCATGGTGTGTTTTCCCCATAACTTAAGAGCTCTATGCCCAGAACGCAGCCTCCCTGAGCCTGGTCCCTGGCCCATTGGCAGGAAGCAAGGACACTTTCTGGATTCCCCCACCATTCCCTCAGTTCTTTTTTTCTCATTGCCTTCATTCATTCCCTCCTTCCTTCATTCATTCACGAATACTAGATGACTATATACCTATACCATGTGCCAAGCACTATGCTAGCAACTTGGGAAAGAAAAAAGCCTCATAGAAGTAAGATATATATATATATATAACTCTAATCCAGACTAGCATGTGACATATGCCTTAAGAGGTAGAGAGGAAATGCTATAAGAATCCAAAGGAGAAGAAGATTATTTTCTGCTTCAAAGATGAAAGCTTACATAAAGATGGCACCAGATTTGGGCCATAAGAATCAATAGGAAGCACAGAGGGCACACAAAGTGTGGAAGTATACCATACCATGACCTTCTCCTTCCCCCAGTTAAGGAGCCCTTTCCTTGATTGTCTAGCCTTCCCATAAATCCTTAGTGTTTGTCAATGTCTTCCTCCTGTTAGTGTGCATACTAGGCCATCTCTTGGACATGTGTAATGCAATGCCTTATCCAATACCTCTAACCAAACTGTAAGCTCCTAGAGACCAGGGATCTTTACTTCCTTGTTTCCCTCAATGGTACCTCATTATCTGCCTTGAACATGGGAGGGGCTACCTAAATATTTGTAGGTTGGTGGTGACTTGACCTCAGCTCAGAGCCACCTCTTATCTTCTCCAACTCCCTCCTGTCATGCTGAGTTGGAAGAAAGAAAGGACAGCACGTACCTTCCTTCGCTCCTCAGCTGCTTCTAGTTTCTTCTGGATCTCTTCCAGTGATGGGTCTCGCCGCCTGGGTAGGGAGGCATTGAACTCAGGAACCCCATCAAAGGAGGGTGGCTTCAGGATGACTTCAAAGGACTGGCCCGAGGTACATTTGTTCAGCTCGATGACTTCCATGTCAGAAATTACACACCAGTTCAGGTCCACTGTGTCTGCTGCAGAGAGCAGGAAACAGGCTGCTCACCCCCTGTGGACTACATTGGCACCCCAAAAGCATGCACACATGCATACATATATGGGAAATCTGGGGTCCCCAAGGCAAATCAATGACCAGGGTTCTGGGTTGGTCCTGAACCTGGCACCTAATAGGGTCAAGGGGCTCTAGTGGGGCTGAAGGAGTTGGTAGCCACAGCAAGGGCTCAGGCTCCAAGAGTAGAGGTCCCAGGATTTGTGGTTTCTAATAATGGCTGTAGCAAATGCTTTTGCTTCTGCCACAAGGCTCCTCCCATACGTGAGCTCTTGCTCAAATTGTCCTGAGTGGTGGCCAACAGTGGTGCATTTGCCCACCACCCACCACCCATTCACTCCTCATCCCACTACCAATCTGATGGCTCAGCCTGTTGCCACCTCTCCCCTGCTCCCTCCTACCCTGCTCTCTTCTTTCTCTCCAGTCAGCACTGTCTTTCCGCTGGCTTTGATCTTTCCTCCTACACTGTCTCCCACACCAGCCTAGACAGAAAAAACAATCTCAGGTAACCCAAGCACTCTCATCTCTCATTTCCAGAACAAAACTGTCCCTTCCTTTTAATCCCTGGCAAATTAAGAGGTGACCTGTTCCCCGCCCCTCCCTGGGCAGAACATGGCCATTCAGTGCTCCCTGCCAGTGTCCTGGGACCCTGTCACAGGTCCCAGTCAGCATAGCCCCCTCATTGGGTGACTGCAGGTGGAAGTCCTCTCTCTACCTCTGGACTCTCAGAGCATTCTCCACCATTCACAGAGGAGGCCTGTCAACCATGGAATCTAGTGATTTATACTGCATCTTGTCTTCTATTCTAGTGCTCTCCAAGTGCAGAATCTCTGTCTGCTTCACCTCTGTATCTTCCACAGCATCCATTTGTTAAATGAATGAAGAAAAGCTAAGATCAAGATCGCTCAGCAGAGGGTCTGATTCAGATTTTCAACTGCTGTCTAGTGCCCCAGCTGCAGCCCCACACCAGGCTTCACATGGTGCTTAGACCCTCAGGATAAGCTGTGGTGATTTTACTGGCTCTAGGAAAGAGGAACATGATATGGGGAGGAGAGTTTCATGAAATTGGGACAGGAGTGTGGTATTCATGGATACAAGCCCAGGAACCCTCCACAAGTTCCTCTCCCAATGGTGGCCCTCACTTACCTTCATATTTATAGGATGATTTATTCAGGGGATCAGCCAGAAAACAGGAGCAGAACAAGGACACCAGTGGAAGCTCCTTCATCTTCTCTTTGTAGGCTGCAGAAACACCAACAGGACAACATGGTGACCCCCTACTAGACTCAGAAGTCAGCCTTTGTGAGAGTTTGGGTGCTTGAGCAGTGAGGGGTGACCAGGCTCCACAGAGGCACCTAAACCACCCAGACCCACCCCTTGGCTGAGGATCCAGCCCCGTTTGCCCTGAACAGCCTGGTTTAGGATTCCTGTGTGTGATTAGATCCACTTCTGTCCATCTTATTAGAACCTGAGCCTTCCAGAGCACCCAGATGATCCCATCTTCTCCTCAGTACATTGTTTCTCTTCCTAGTACTGAATGCAAAATGCCTTCAGGTAAAGACCACAAGCACTAGTGCCTTTGCCCCAGCCTGGCACCCTAGACCTAGTTCTCTATTTCTTCATGCTTGCCAGAATATTTCATTTACTTTGCTCCAAGATGCAGGAAATCCACACTCCATTTTACTCAAAGCATTCAGCAGTGCTTCTCTGAAAGGTAAAGAGGCTCACCACCATCCCTCTAGTCTTGACACTCACTGAGGGGCAGGGTCAGGATGTGAGTCTTCTCTGACCTTCCCAGTGCAGTGGTCAAAGCCAGAGGTGCTGGTGTCCATGAGGGCTGGAGGAATACCCCCACCACCGTCTAGCCTCTTTGTGTCAGGGGAGGATTTGAAAACCAGGAAGTCACAGATTAGAGCTGATACAGTGAAGTCCAGCCCACCTCTGCCCTGGCCCTGGCATGTGCTCCTGCCTGTACCCCCACCACTCTGGGGCCAATGCCCCTTGTTTTAAGCTCCACTATGTTCAAGTTCTCTCTGTTCTCAGCTAAACCGAGCACAGTGCTCAGGCACTCTCCTCCTTGTTTCCTTTTACAAATTGAAAACATAATTAAGTGTAAAATAATATATGTGCATTGTAAAAACTTTTTAAAAACACACACAGAGGAGTAAAAAGGAGGAAAAGCTCAATGGTGATCCCACCCATCATCTAGAGATAACTTCTTTTAACCCTTAGGTGTACTTCCTGTCAGTCTTTTATCCTTCTCTATGCTTATGTAAGTACATATATGTGTGCACAGAACTATCTTATGCTGTGGTGCCCCATCACATGAACAGTTTTTGTACATACCAGCGAGGGTCATGTTTTCTGGAATGTGAGGGCTGGATCCAGCTGAAAGTCACAAAGTAGGTCTGTCACCAGCTCAGGATGCTGTCACAAATCTGAGAAAGAGAGTATTTTATCACTGACAGGTTATTCCCATAAGAAAGGTCTTTATACAACTGGGGAGGGAATCCCAGGAAGCACCTGGTCTGCTCCCACCTCCAGGAACTCTACACACCCACTCTCCCTTTCCCAAACATAGACCCCCTGTTCAACACCACCATAATCAAGTTCAGTTTCCATGCACGAATGATAGTTTCATAATTAGCTTTCTAGTCTCAAGCCCCCTGAGTATCAGACATGAATTTCCCAAAACTATATGTGTCAAGAGGTGTTCATTTGTCTCCCTGTGCAGCTTAATGGCTGGCCCAAAGCAAAGGTTAGTGTGAGAGACAAATCCTAAGTCAGAATCACTTGGGAGGTTTTCAAAAAATAACCCTGTGTCCTGAATTTCTCCCTATTCCCATCCCAGAACCCCCTGCCCAGCCCGTTCTGATATGAGATCAGAGGGAATTGGACAAAGGATGTCAAAATACTACTCCAGATGGCCCCTCACTCATTACCCACCAAGAACCTCTTGTCTTAAATACTCCTTGACCCCATTTAACATAACCTAGACTATGAGAGAGACAAACATTATTATAGAATAACGTCATCATAATGTGGTTGGTGCAGAGATGGAAATTACGCCACCAGCTTTCCTGGGTCTCCAGCTTGCAGGTGACTGATTGTGGGATTTCTCAGCCTCCATAACCGCATGAGCTAATCCATCAGAATAAATCTCTTTCTCCATGCATCCTGTTGGTTCTGTTTCTCTGGAGAATGCCGACTAATACAGTCACCCTCAGTGGTCACTGTGCCAGCAGAGGGTGGTGTGAGCCAACAGTTTTACTGCCTGCATCTCACAAAGCAAAGGGCTCTGAGACTGATGTAGAGCCTCTTTCCTTCCTTAATGAGGTGTCTTCCCTCTGGCAACTGGGGTCTGTATTAGCTGTGAATGGGCAGGGGAGCCAATGGGAACAGGGGGCTCAGCTTTAGGATCAGACCAATGTGGAGTCAAACTCCGACTTGATCTCACTTACTAGCTGTCACTCACATGTCCAATTTGCTTTCTCCATCTTAATTCTGCACCAAGTTGCACAAATTCAATAAGAAAAGCATATGTACAGCATCCAGCAAAAAGGAGGTACTTAATAAATGTGAGTTTCTTTTCCTCTGCCTCTTCCATCAGGGTAGCCACCACCCACACACCTGCTTCAGAGTCACTGCCCTGGTCCTCACCAGCTCTGCAATTAAGGACTGTAATCTCCATTTGTAGATGAGGAAACAGAGGCTCAGAGGGTTTATGTGGCTTACTCGGGGTCATGAGGTTAGAGAGTTATAAAAGCAGAGATTTAAAGCCAGGTCAACTGGGCTTAAAGTGCTCTCTTCCCTGAAGCGTCTTTGTGTTCTCTGGAGTCAGAGGCCCCTGCCATGCACCACCCTCCTCGCTGTGCAGCACAATGGGCCTCTTTCCTCAGAGTCAAGCTGATCCTGACAGTACCAGTGGGTCCCTGAACAGGGCCTGGATGTGACATCCCTGGTCGTGAGTCTCCATTCCACACAATTTTGGCTCATAACCAGGCTGATTGATGAGGTGACTGGCTGGATGAGCAAGCCCTTGCCAGGAGAGGGAGTAGCATTAGATTTAACCTAGGTAATTGATCTAAAGCAGGGGGTTCAAGTAAGTGAAGTGAGGCAGAGAAGGACACTCTGAGAAAGAAGGGGGACTGAGCTGGACTTTTTCTGTAGGGGTAGGTACCCGGAATGAAGGACTGTGCCCCTCAGCCCGAGCTGGGCATGATAATTAAGGCCCACCACTCACGGAGCACAGATTACAACTCCTGTCCTATCCCTATTAATCTTCACGTGAGGCTGGGCTGACAGCCTCACTTTCAGCTAAAGAACTTGGGGCTCAGAGAACTTAAGACTCTTAGCTAAGGTCACGCAGCTACTTAATGGTAGAGCTGGTTCTTTGATCCAGGTCTTCTCACTTTTAAGTTCTTCCTTTGTGGCCAGGGGAGAGACTGGATGCTAGTTCCTCCATGGTTCTGGGGACTCAAGAAATGCCAGTCTGGCCTGTAGATATGGTTTAATTAAAGACATGAATAGGTGCTTTCTATACTTCTATGGAAGATACTGTGCTAGGAGTTGTAGGAGCATAAAGAACCAGGTAGAGAACATAGGTCCGAGAGGCTGAGAAGGAAGACTAGGGCATGGAACAGGAGACACTCCAGAGATGGGCAGAGGTATGCCTAGCCAAGGGATTAGTAACTGAGAGCTCTCTGTTTCACAGGGCTGGAGTCTACATAATCAAAAATGTGTATTTATAGAGCATCTATTATATGTCAGATACTTTCATTTTCATTTTCATAATAACCTTATGATGTAAGGATTGTTGTCCCCATTTTATAGATGTGGAAATTGAGGCTCAGAGAGGGTAAGTGACATTTCTAGGGCCATCCAGTGTAGTGGATTGAATGTGTCCCCCAATAAGATATGTCCTCATGCTAACTCCTATAACTTGGGGATGTGACTTTATTTTGAAAGGGTCTCTGCAGATTTAATTAACTTAAGGACCTCAGAGTCATATCATTCTGTATTATCTGGGTGTCATCAAATATAACGACAAGAGTCCTTATAAGGGACACACAGAGAGGAGAGGCCATCTGAAGAGGGAGGCAGAGATTGGACTGATGCAGACACAAGCCAAGGAGCACCTGGAGCCACCAGAAGCTGGAAGAGGCATGAAAATTTTCTCCCCTAACATCTTTGAGAGACTGTGACCCTACTGACACCTTGATCTTGGACTTCTGGACACCTGAACTGGGAGAGAATTAATTTGTGTTGTTTTGAGCCACTAAGTGTGTGGTCATTTGTTACAGCAGCTGCAGGAAACTAATACACGCAGTAAGAGACGGAGCCAGGGTTCAAACTTGTGATTCTTCCACCTTATCTCAGCTACTAGTGCTTATACACAGTTGACTTGTTCCTTAAGGTAATTGACTTGTTCCTTGTACTTATGGGTACAATAAATCCTTATGCCATAGTCACATCATTTCTATTGCATTCAAGACCCAAAAGATGTTGCTGACTGTGGGACATTCTGAGAAAAGATAGAAGGGGGCAGGAGGGAGGGCATAGACTCTTCAAGAAGACCAAGCAGTGAAGAGGGGTCCTAAGCCATTGGGTGGTGGCTGCTAGAGCAGGGGGCCTGACTTTGCCCCTAATTAACATGGAGCATCAGAGTTGAATGGGGCCAATCATACCCACCTCCCTAGCACTCCCCAGCCTGGCTACATGAGGACTCCAGGTTGTCTGGTGGGTTAGACCCAGATTGGATGCACACCACTTGGAAGATCTAGTTATGCTAACCCATGGCCTGGAGGCCCTTTAGAACAGCTCTGAGGCCTCCGCTCCCCGCATCTTAGAGCACCAACAGCTCAGATCATTCTCCTGGGCATCTCCAGTCAATCTAAAGGCCCGCAAACCAGCCTTAGTCTCTAGGCTTGGTCCCTACAAGCTTCTCACAACACTGTGAAATCTGTTAAATGACTCGGTGGCTTGGGTTAGCTTGGGTTACGTTGTCAGGCCACAGTAAAATACCTGCAATGCAGTGGGGCCACCAAGCCTGTCCTGCATCTGCCAGAGAAGGGCATTAAGGGATGTTACTGCTCAAGGTCATAGAGGACAAAATGCCAGGAATTCAGGGAGGCAAGATGAAAATTAAGAGACAATAGAGGCCAGAGTAGACATGAGCCAGGCCCATCGGGGGAAATTCTATCCCCAAAACGTTACACATCAGAGCATCATAAGGCAAAACTCTGTGCTGAGACAAACCTCTGGCCCTCACAGAGGCTCTTTGCATGGTTTCTGTTATGGCAGAGGCCAGTCCCGGGCCTTGGCAGCACTAGGGAAGACCAGGGACAATGACTATATCCAGCCATAGCAAAGATCAAAGCGGTCCCCAACTCAAGGTAGATGAGTTACACCCACTCAGCCAAGAGCCACAGAAGCAGAGCCCACAACAGTGGCTTCCTGACTCTTGCCCAGCACTCACTCCCCAGCACTTTTAATGGGTGCAGGCTGCTGGTCAAGAGGCAGGGCCTCCCTGGGCATCTCAGCCCCTGTGCTGGCCATTATTGATCTAGCATAGCAGGTGGTGAGAGGACTCAAGTTTCAGATGGCAAAGGTCAGAGGGTGCTGGGTTTCTTAGGCAAATCAGATTCTGCAGGCGTCTCTATCACTGCCATGGCTTTGGAACTTGACAGTGTGTGGGCGTGCGGACTGGATTTATTGGGGAACAGAGAAGGCCCACTGGGCTGCATGCAGGACTCATTGGGACCAATTGGTAGAATAGCAATAGGAAGATGAGGGACCTGCAGACTAGGGAAAGCATTTGTACTTTATATTCTATTCAGTAGGAAGGCACCGACATCTTTGGACTAAGAGGGGAGAGGGGAAATGGGGATACTGATGATAATAGCAAAAAGAATAGCTACCACATCTTGAACACCTGCTTGGTACCAGGAAATTCACAAGCATTATTTCAATTTCTTCTCTGAGGTTATTTGTAAGAGGGAACTCGAAGCTCAGCAGAGAGAGGTTAATGACACAAAAGCCTACAGGTAGTAAGAGCGGAGCTGGGATGTTCATTAGCTGCTACTCAGGCAAAAAGATTCTTCTGGCAGCAACAGCTTGGGGAAAAGATGAGGAGAGGAAGTTTGGAAGCCAGGACTAGGCACAAAGTGATGAGGACCCACCTAGAACAAGTAACAGCCTCAACTGTTTGCATCCCACCCAATACTGTTTCTCTGTTTGCAAACCGATCTATACATTTACTCCAGCTCCAGCACCTAAGAGTCTATGTATAGAAAAGCAAGTGATCACACATTTTTGTTGAGAGATTGAACCATTAACCTAATTGGTAGAAATAATTAGTTAGCAATAACCCAACCAAGAAGAGACCCAGGCCATAAAGAGACAAGACACAGAATGAGTATGTTTTGATTGGCAGACG